CGGGCTGGGGGTGGAGCCGAGGGGTTCGGCATATGAGAGGGGGCTCCAGGCTGAGGCAGGGGATTGGGGTGTGGGAGGACGTATGGGCTCTGGGCTGGGTGTGTGGGAGGGGGTTGGGGCAGACGGTTGGGGTGTGGGGGGGTGAGGGCTCTGGCTGGGGTTGCGGGCTCTGATGTGGGGCTGGGGATAAGGAATTTGGGGTGTAGTAGGGTGCTCCAGGCTGGGGCTGAGGCAATGGCGTCCTTCACTCTCTCCGGTCTTCGGCATTGAAGGACCCCCCCTCCACTGCAATGCCACTGAAGACCGGAGCAAGTGAAGGACTCGATGCCGAAGTGCTGCTGAAGACCCGGAGTGCCGCCGGGTGAGTAGCAGTGGGTGGCACCTTTATCTCCGCTCCCCCTGACCTGCCGCTGAAGACTCGGAGAGCCACCGGGTGAGTAAAAATTTAAAAGGCGCCAAAGAATTAAAAAAGCACCACTTCAGCTCGGTGGGGGAGCAGCCGCTGCCCCACTCCCCCCCAGCTATGCTACTAGGCTGTGGGGTTTGGAGTGCAGGAGGGGGCTCTGGGCTGGGGGTTAGGGCACAGAGGGGCCCTCAGGAACGCAGACCCTGGGAGGCGCTTTATCTCAAGCAGCTCCCAGAAGCAGCGGTATGTCCCCCTCCGGCTCCTAAGCGGAGGTGCGACCAGGCAGCTCTGCACATTGCCCCATCCGCAGTTGCCGCCCCCACATCTCCCATTGGCTGCGGTTCATGGCCAATGGGAGCTGCGGAGACAGCACTTAGAGCCCCCTGGCTGCCCCTAAGCCTAGGAGCCAGAGAGGGGGCATGCCGGCTGCTTCCTGGGAGCTGTACGGCACAGAGGCTTGCAGGGAGCCTGCCAGCCCTGCTGTGCAGCATTGCCAACCAGACAGTCACCCTAGAGTCTCATGATATTTAGGTTTTTTCTTAAAGCCCCAGTTCCTGCAGATATGTGATTCAGTGAGAATCTGCTTTCATGTTACAAAAAAATATATTAATCTAGTTCTTCTGGTTGTGAAGAACAGCTAGAAAACATGATGCAAGTGCACCTTAAAGAATCAAACACCAGAAGGCAAATAAAAAGAACTCCAAATTTATTATTTCTAAAAAAACACTCTTGGATTTTTAAGCCAATCCTATGATTTCCAGGGTCTGATCTGTGATTTTGGAATGCTTGGAAGTGGCAAGTGTATACTACTTAACATGGTCAAGCCAATTTAAAACAAACTCCAGGCCTGACATCCAGAAGGGCTGATTACTCATAACTCAAAATGAAATCAACAGAAATTATGCATGCTCAGCACCTCTGAAACTCAGAACCTTGTTTTAAAACAAAATGGGTTCCTGAGCTCAGATCTTATATGTCGGGTTCAATTACCTTTAAAACAGAGGTTCTTAAAAGAAAAATTGATTCTACTGGGACTCTAGTAGATTTCTTCTGTAGACGCTAGTATATCCCCTCTTGTCTCTTTAGCACTCTTCCATGTAGTTATTACCACAAAGTCCACAGACAAGTCATTAAAGGCAAGGATGTTGATTTCTTTATAGTTAAAATTATTTTATGTGCAATGATTTGCTGTCAATCAGAAAGCAAGCAAGCGAGCAACAGAAACATTCTCTTCCCTGGAGAATTACCAACCATGAAACTTCTTTTCAAAAAAGAAAAGAAGGGACTTTCTTTAAAAGCGGCATCTGATTTACAGCAACTGGGACAAAGTTATCTTAGGTTAGTAATATTTGCACAGCACTAGTAATAAATGAAAGGGCAAAGGGAATGGAAGATAAAGGAATCAGAGTGCCTTGGTGTGTTTCACTGCAGATTTCAGAAAGCCAGTACATAGCTCTGCTTGTTTAACGGACTGTATAATGTCAGATACTACCGTGCAATGGAAAAGAGATTAAACAAACTGTTGATACATTCATAGGGCTTTTGCTGCACATGTAAAAGCTGCTGCATTCAGATTAACTCTCATATGCCAGACGTGGCTGATTAGAGCAGTTGCCTGGCTTCAGGAGTGAAAAGTCCCTCCAAAACAAGACAAAGTCCCATTTTTTACAAGAGCAAGCTGAAAACAATAAAGACAAATCATGGCAATGTTTGTTTTCAGGGTAAAGAATACAAAACAGGTCCAGGATTCGGATGCAGTATCATTTCCAGATGTTGTTAATTTGACTGTCACGGGTAGCAGTACTTTTTCCTCACTGTTTCTTTCCATTACTCTGTAAACGATATCCTTCAAACATCACGCTGTCAACACTAAATTTCCCCAACCAATGCATGCAGACAGAGCAAGTGCAACAGCGGCTGGTGTTATGTTCATGGCACACACACACAGAGACATTAGATTTTAAAAAATGCTGTTGCTGGAAGGTCACACCGTCATGTGACTTTATTTCTTCTAATTCAGAACCATAACACACAAGACCCCATTATCAGAGAAAGACAAATCAGGCTGCTCCTTAGAACAGAGAGGCACAGCTTATCCCACCTTACTCGAGGTTGGCTCTCTGCAAACTGAACTGCTGGCATGCCCAAACTGAATGCTTCCCTATAGAGACCCCTAGCCTGCCATAGATTTAAAGTGATAGTTTGGAATTTTACAGTTTTCAATACACCACAAGAGCAGAAAGGCAGAAAACTAATATTAGAAGCAAAGAGCCTGAGCCCATTAGTATTTTAAGCACTCCCACCTGACGCACTCACGCCAAGTCACACAATCTTGCCAAGTGCAAAACTTGCTTTCAGTTCACATCACCCCTTTTAGATGCTGCATTGTTCATTTGAAGTCCAATCTGTCAATTATTCCTCCTCTGTTAAGTGCACAATAGCTGCTGCCTCTTCTCCACCGACCTAATTCAGCCTTCAGTTTTACACTAACGTAAATGTGCCATTTGAAGTCAGTAGAATTATTCTGGATTTATACCAGCAACTGGCTCTGCATGAGTCACTGCTCCTGTAATGCCATGAACACCTTTAAGAGATTACATATTATCCAGGATAAAGTAAGGCTTTATTTACCCTCTAGCATTTCAATGAAAAAATAATGTGAACTCCTCTTTGATCACGAGCTGCCATCCCAACTTTTACAGCATGTAGTAGGAGAACCATATTGTTACAAATTCAAGGTACTTCGAAGAAGTGTCCCTAAGCAGTTCATCTTTACTAAGAATGTGCTAAATTCTATCCTTGGAGCCGCATTGCAGATATCAGAGATGTGTGAGGAAGCCACATCGAAGACTTCTATTAATTTCAGTGGGCTTTGGCTCAGGCTCTTAAACTGCAAAAGATTTCTACCTACATATGTGGTGTTAGGTTATTATTATCCCTGAGGTGACATGAGCCAACTAAAGCGTGTAAAAAAAGAGAATGAACACAGAGGTTTGATAATTTTGGATGTCTTTCCAATAAAATCCAGCATGGGAGTTATTAGAAAATGTAAATATTCCGTAAAAATCACTTCTTCTCCATATGTTTCTAGCACTTAGCTTGGAATAAACTAACAGCACTTCCTGGGGTGAGCAGTGAAACTTTACATTGCAGCAGCATTGAATTTGTATTGGGTGGGGGCAGGGGGGAGTGAGAAAACAATCCATAAAATCTTTTTTCTCTTAAAAAAATAAATCAGGAATAATGTGCCTCTCCAGCTGAATTAGCTCTGCCTCAGTGTGTGATTCAGAAACTGATAAAGATCATCACTAGGAGCTAAACGAATTTTTTAGAATTAAAAAAAAAAGCTACAGAAGACATGAAATTAAGCTACATTGTTTTTTGTTCTTGGAAGTTCTTGGAATACTAATCTAAACACAGCAGTAATATAATTAGTAGATCTTAAAACTTCTTACAAAGGAAGTAAATATCATTATCCCCTTTGTACAGATGGGGAAACTGATGCACAGAGGCAAAGTGACTTGCCCAAGGTAATCCAGCATGCTTTACGATTACAATTACTATTAAAGCAACAAATAAAAAGACAATGCCCAGTTATTTTTCCCTGGGGTGTAGGCAGGCCATGATGGATTTCCTCTACAAAACTGACACATTTTAACACATATATACACATCCAAATTACATATTCATTAGTTCTCTTCCAACCAGCATTAAGTATTATGAATATTATATCTTACGCAACTCATACAATACATGTGTAAGAGCCAGTCTGCAGGACTTTTGCTGTCCATGCTATTTTCATGTTGTTATTTTTTCTAACTGATTTATTACCACTGATCAAGCATACTTGACTAGGCCACTTATATCCTTTACTCTGTATATGGACTGTTTGGAACTTTCCCAATAGTCTCAGGGCAATACATTCTGTTTATCCATTATGCTGACTCCCCTCTACATACATAATATCCTCACATTTGTGCACATCCTGTGGTCAAAACAACCCCTCTGTCCTCTACAGCAGCAGCTGCAAGCAAGGTTTCTTAATAACAAGGTGTGACGGGTTGGATCACAGAAACCCTTTTGGGACTCCCACCTGACGTGCCTAGACTACCTCTGAGCCTGTTTTCCCTGCCCGCTTGGGATTTCAATACCTTGCCTTGTTTGAGCCAGACACCGCTTGCCTGCTGCAAACACAGATCCAAGTCTGAACCACGTCCCCCACAAGCTGCAGGCTTAACTGAAAACAGCTTAAGAAGTGCTCCTGTTTCTAGCACTCAGATACCCAGCTCCCAATGGGGTCCAAACCCCAAATAAATCTGTCTTATCCTGTGTAAAACTTATACGGGGTAAACTCATAAATTGTTCTCCCTTTATAACACTGACAGAGCACAGCTGTTTGCCCCCCGCCCCCAGGTATTAATACTTACTCTGGGTTAATTATTAAGTATAAAGTGATTCTACTAAATACAAAAAGTAAGATTTAAGTGGTTCCAAGTAATAACAGATAGTACAAAGTGAATTACCAAGCAAAATAAAATAAAACACAAAGTCTAAGCCTAATACAGTAAGAAAGTGATTATAGATGAAATCTCACCCTCAGAGATGTTCCGACAGGCTTTTTTTCACAGACTGGACGCCTTCCTAGTCTGGGTCCAGCAACCACTCACACCCCTGTTGTTTCAGAGGAACAGCCGTGTTAGTCTGTATTCGCAAAAAGAAAAGGAGTACTGGTGGCACCTTAGAGACTAACCAATTTGCTGTCCTTTGTTCCAGTTTCTTTCAGGCATCTCTTTAGGGTGGAGGGGCTATCTCTTGGACCAGCTGAAGACAAAATGGAGGTTTTTCCAGGGGCTTATATAGCCTCCCTCAAGTCACATGTCCATACATGACTCAGCTCTTTACAGGCCTATGCCATGTTAGCCCGAACGTTCCCAGGAAAGCTCAGATGTGGATTGGCATCTATCAAGGTCCATTGTTGGCCAAGTACTCCCAATTACTTGAATAACCCCTTCACACTATGTTGATCAAATCTGCCTTAGGTGCTTTCTACAGCAAACACCTTAAATACAAGCATAGAGCCAACGCTCCTAACTTCAGATATAAAAATGATACATGCATACAAATAGGATGAACACATTCAGAAGAACATAAGCTTTGCAAAACTATGTTACATGACATATGTAGCAGAAAACATATTCCACTTATGTCATATTTACATTCATAAGCATATTTCTATAAAGCATTATGGGGTGCAAGTCCATAATGTCACACAAGGTCACTAAGGCAACACTCATGTCAAGCAAAACTAGGCTAAAGCCAGCCAAGTCTGCATGAGTATCATCTTGATCTGTCCAAATTTATTCATTCGAAATGACCCGTATGCCAATTCCCAATAGTCCAGTACCATGATAAAAATGATAACAGGAAACCTGAGCTATGAGGAAAGATTTAAAAACCTGGGCATGTTTAGTTCTGAGAAAGGAAGACTTGGCGAGAGATCTGAAAACAGCCTGCAAATATGTTAAGGGCTGTTATAAAGAGGATGGTGGTCCATTGTTTTCCATGCCCACTGAAGGTGGGACAAAAAGCCTGGGGCTTAATCTGCTAGCAAGGGAGATTTAGGTTAGATATTAGAAAAAAAATCTTCCTAACTACAAGGATAGTTAAACTCTGGAATAGGCTTCCAAGGGAGGTTGTGGAACCCCTTCATCAGAAGTTTTTAAGAACAGGTTGGCAAACACCTGTTAGGATAAACTTGGCTCTGCTTCAGTGCAGGGGCTTGGACTAGATAACCTCTTGAGGTTCCTTCCAGCCCTACATTTCTGTGATTCTACAAAACTGAATTTATAGTGATATTTTTCACGCAAATAGTGTTTTCACTGAAGAAAAATGCAGATCTGCGTTGACCAAAAGTATTTGTGAATTTGGGTCAAATTTGGCAAAAAGTTTCAGCTAAAAAAAAGGAATACAATCCAGAATTTTTACACCCCTGCACCCTCCACACAAATGAGCAACCTCCCTATCTCTCCCCCCAAAAGGTTTTGGGTCAAACAGCATGTTTTGTTTTATCCTAAACATTTTTTCAGCTCTTCGTTTTGTTGAGAAAACCCGGCCCAAATATTGTTTCAGTTCAATCCAAAATTATTTGTTAATTTTTTACTTTGACCACCGAACCAAATAAATAAAAATCGGTTATTCACCCAGCCCTAGTTTCAGTGTTTTGCAACATGCTGGTTAAGATGTTCCTTTGTACAGAGTCAAATCCCGGACGCCATGAAATGACCAGCAAAACTACCACTTGGGTTCATCAGGTCTAGGGTCTGGGGCATAGTGAATTAGTTCTGTGAAAAGAAGGACATCTCTACGATGATGCCACATGCTTCACAAAGGCTTTCAACTGCTGCCACTGCACCCAGCAACATGCTGAATGTGAATTTCCAGAAAGGGAGCTACCGCCAAAAGGACTGTGTTTCCTAGAAATGCCTGTTCAGCCCAAAGTGAGATACTTAATTGCAAATGTGAAATAGGAACCTTCTGCAGGGGGTGTTTCTGAGTACGGGGAATGAACCAATTAGACATCCCACAACTAGGCCAGCTGGAACCAGTGCTTCCTGCTACATTTCGAGTAGCAAAGCTGCCATCTCAGCAAACCTGCTTCCCGCACTCCTGTGAAAGTGCCGAAGGCACCCTACTGGCACTGCCAAAGGTAGATACTCATTGCTCCTCATACCCTAGCAACAATGCATAGGATAGAGAGCGGGATTAGCCCAGAAGAGAGACAATCATATTTGAATAACTATACATTGAGCAGTCTCCATAATAAGTTAATGTGAATGAATCCAGAGCTTAAGAATGATTAGAGGGTTTAGGATAGGAAATTTTGGAAATTTAAAATTAAATTGAAAATTCAGGGACAGGACAAATTAGCTGTCTGTTAAGGCAGCTATTAATATTTATCATAAAATAACAATAAGATGCCAAAAACTGACTTCTTCACTGGTTATTATTCGGTTTACATTCAATGGTGATCAGGTAAATGCCAAGCGAAGTCAATCAGAATGTGCCTAGTAAGGACAAAGTGTATTTTTCATGTATACTAGACATCTATAGATAGCTTCTGCAGGACTTGGCTGAAAATTCAACAGAGTTCTAATGCAGTAATTTCCAACCTTTCCTTTACTGGGACATCCCCTCCCACCTCGCAACATGAGAGAGTCAGGATGCTCATGACCCCTTGATACCTGTTCATAACCTCCACATTGAGAATGAGAGCTGTCCAGAGGACAACAATTCCAATTCATAACTTTTCAGGTTTCAAAATTTTGTTTTCATCCCGCATGAAACCTTTGGAACATTTTCATCAAAACTGCTGTTTTTGGATCCAAAACTCAGGTTTTTTATTCCTTTCTCTCTGGTCAGATGTGACCAGAGAGCACGAGTCCTCAAAGTCTATCTTGATGAAAACTTTGTCAAAACCATAAAATTACATCTCCACTAAATGTTTTGGCTTCAGTGAATTTCACTTTGTCAGAAGTGGTCTGACGAGCTGTACTGAGAACCTCTGTTTCAATGCAAAAATGACAGAGAGAGAGAGAGAGAACAATCTGAATATGCTGACAGACGTATATTGTCCTGGGGATTAAAAAAAGAATGAAAAGTATTAAACATTCCACACTAGTGCAATTTCTGTTATTTGTCTAGATACAAAAGAATTGGATTATTCATTTAGAAAGATAGCTCAGCATTTCACACAAAACTGGATAATCCCTCAATTCAGCATGTCGAACATATAACATTTATACCCAATCATCACTGAAAAGTTTCTGAGTAGCAGCCGTGTTAGTCTGTATTCGCAAAAAGAAAAGGAGTACTTGTAGCACCTTAGAGACTAACAAATTTATTTGAGCATAAGCTTTTGTGAACTACAGCTCACTTCATCGGATGCATCTATATCACTCCCATTTACTGCTTTATCTCCCTTGCTAGAGTAAAGCTTTGTTTCTGATTGTGGTCAGCATTTTCTGTAAGTGGTAGAACAGGGATTTTGTCTGTACAGTCACCTTTGTCCGGCTTGTTCTTGTCCATCCCTCCTCGAATGCAAGTCAACCCCCACACCATTCTATTTTGTTGTGAGCTTGTTCTTTCCATTTCTGGTGAAAGTGTTTTGCCATGGGATCAGCCCAGCAGTTGTTTGTGGTCTCTGGGGATCCAGTCACTGATGTGGATTGTCCATCTATTATCTTGCCCGCGGACTAAATGACCTGCCCATCTTCACAGTTCCTTCTAGCCTTAAAGTCTATTAATCTGCCCCTACATCTGGAACAATGACCATATTTTCATCCACCAAGCATTCCTTCCTCAGAACCCACTCGCTTCTAGCAATCCTTCCTAACCATAAACCATGCCCACAGCCTCCCTTGCCTAAACTGTTGTCTTAAGTCTTTATCCTATCTTCATTGTTTTATCTAATTTAGATTATTATCACTCCAGGGCAAAGAATGTGACTTTCCCTGTGTACATAAAGTGTGTGTAAATTTCCAGTAGTATATAAATACAGGCCACGTTGAGATACCCTAACTTTCACTGAGCAGTACTGGGCAGCATGCAAAGTCCTATTAAAGTCAGCAGGAATATTCATTGAGTAAGGTATTAGCAAACATGATTAAGGAGTGTCAAAATGGTGCCCTAAATGATTTATAAAAATCATCCTAATAATCTTCCACCCACTTAAAATTTATATCCTCTCTCCACTTCACCTGCCTCCTGATTAGAACAACAGGAATTGAGTGAGTGACTTCATGTACTGCAGAACAGAAAGTTATTCTGTGGGTGTTTTCTATCAAATTAAATCAAAATTAGCCAGGCAGCAAAGTGTGCCATCAGTCAAGGACATTCCCTACTCTCTCTAATGGTTATTCTGCAATCAGCTAAGATAATTTAGCCTAAGCTTGGCAAATGATTTCTGCATTTAAGCTAGACAACACTGCTTATAACAAAGGGCACCCCAACTGCACTGTATTTAGGTTAATATTTAATGGTGGCAATTTTGTACATTTCAAAAACCAATCCTCTCATTTACACAAAATACCTCCATGCTTATTATACGAAAATTACATCGTGTTCTGCCCCGGTGTATTCCTAACCACTAGTGGCTTGATGGCAGGCTATTACTCTTTTATCTGTTCACTGAAGTTCTGTTTCTCATCCCTGATAATGACTGCACAAACACCCTCTTCCTTGACTAATGTGCAACATATTTTCCTCATCTAAAATGTGCTCAACCCTAATAACAGACCATGTGTTTTCTCCACTCCGTCCTTCTAAACAACGGGTCTATAATAACAACCCTATCTCATCTGCAATTGGTTTTGTACATTTAATCCAAAAAATTGCAAATATAATATTTAAATAACACATTACATTTTATTTGGCACTTGGGAAAATGTAATGAAAGGGTGGGTTTTGGAACGTCAATGGGATAAATAAATAGGATTCTACTTGATCACATTGAACCATTCTGTTATATGGTGTGTTGCCCAGAATACAGTCATTATGAATAAACTGTTTTGTACAATACTCAACCAAAGTCCAGCTTCCTTAGGCAAAAACTGGAAGGCACTGAGGAATCAGAAGTCTCATGAATTTGCGTATTGCTGTGTCCGTGTTTCTGGGATCTCCTTAAACTGAAACATAGAGACTTA